TCGGTTTCCTGCTGAGAACCATGGCCTCAGATTTGGAGGTGCTGAACAACGACCTTCCTTTTTACTTTCGATACAAATAAATACATAAAATACAAAAACAAGGAGACCGGTCAAAACTGAACCCATAAATACCAAAATAAAATTAGATATTAAATACAACATGGATGAAAATTTGTCCATTAATTGAGCAATTAGTCCTTCTACGTGGGGTTGTGAACTTACTTATTACGGCACGAGGAACCCAATCGGAGTCAAATGAAAGAAAATAGTTACTTCGATTTAACAATGACGTAAAACTTGAAGTGAAAGACCGTAAACCAAATAACCTACGACAACCTTATTTGGTTTACTTTGTCTTTCTTTATCTCTAAAAAAAGGCCCCCCCCACGAACACTCTCCCACGGTGTAAACAGGGTGTGTTTTGGTAATGGAGGAACAGGTTGGGACAGAGGGATTTTTAATTCAAAGGTGTCTTGATTTGACGTAAGAGTTCACATGTATACAAATCATATTCCTATGTATAAAAGCATGCAATCACACCTTTACGTGACGCTCCTATGAAAAAATTACAGCAACATGTACCAACGCTTCTTTTATTTACTTAAGAAGAAAAGGAGATGATCAGGACTGACTCGTGTGCGTGGACATTGGAAACCGACGACACGAGAGTCACAATTACAGAGACAGTGACCGACTACCGCAGTCGAACTATCTCACATTACTAAGTAGGTAACATACGTCGTACTAACTAATATGTGAGAGACTGATCATTTATCTGCCAGCCCCTCTCAAGAGTCTAAACTGCACCGTTTGAGCTGGCATTCAGTCCATTGGAGCTAACCCTGAACAAAACCTAGGGGCCGGCCACGATGCGTTATACTCTACTCACAAGAGATGAGTCCCGGTAGGTAGAGACATGAGGGTCTCGGCTCTTCGACACAGGCCCAGGATCTGTCATTCAACGTGGGTTAAGGTCACTCTGAATGGAGGATTCTCAATTGCGAACAATGGACAGGACAAACATTGATGTGATACCTATCCTATAGCTCCTGGATCACGCACCAGTCGCAGAACGTCAAGCCACACTGATTCGCATGGTGACCAAACGCGACTTCACCAAGACAACCAAAGTAGACAGCCGCCAAAAGTCATGAGGACGTAGCAAGCGTTGTACACTGGG